ATCACTCCAGCGCTCCCCACCAGCACCGCTACTGACGTTGCGGACTTTTTGCTTCACGACGTCATCCTACACCATGGTGCTCCTCGCCAATTACTCACGGATCGCGGCCGCGCATTTTTGTCCCGTGTAATCGACGATCTTCTGCGCTCTTCCTCGACGCACCACAAGCTGACTACTTCCTACCATCCCCAAACAAATGGTCTTACCGAAAGGCTAAATCGGACCCTAACGGACATGCTCGCGATGTATGTGTCCTTCGACCACCATGACTGGGACCTGGCGCTACCTCACATGACCTTCGCGTACAATTCTTCACGCCACGACACTACTGGTTATTCACCCTTTTATTTGCTTTATGGTCGTGATCCGAAGTTACCACTCGACACCCTACTTCCAACCACTACAACGCCGTCAACCGAATATGCACGCGACGCTATTGCTCGTGCCGACCACGCACGTCAGATCGCCCGCTCTAGACTTTCGGCTTCGCAAGCCACCCAGAAAGCCATCTACGACAGCCGGCATGCTGACGTTCACTTCTCACCTGGTTCTCTTGTTCTCCTGTGGTGCCCAGTTCGTCGAGTTGGCTTATCAGAGAAGTTGATGTCTCGCTACATGGGTCCTTACCGTATCATCCGCCAGGTAACCGACGTCACCTATGAGATCATTCCTGCATCTGAGACCACAAGCCTGCCTGCAACCACACCCAGTGATGTTGTGCACGTCAGCAGGCTAAAACCTTACCACCTGCCTACTGAAGACCGTAGTTAATGTGCACCGAGACGGCGCTTTTACCGCCGGGGGGGGGGGGGGGGGGGTAATGCTACGTAGCTGACATATCAGTGGTCACAAGACGACCACGAGATAGTAATCTGTCGGCTTAGTCGACGCCATACGCATCAGTTTGAATATAGATTTTTACGTAACAATATATATATATATATATATATGTATATATATATATATATATATATATATATATATATATATATATATATATATATATATATATATATATATATATATATATATATATATATATATATATAGGCAGGCATGGTGGTTGAGTGGCCGTAGCGTTGCATATAGTCTAGTAGATCCTCCGTGAGCGGTTACAACGTGGTTTATTTCGACGTTTCGGCCTAGAGTCTGGCCTTCATCAGGAATGAAGGCCAGACTCTAGGCCGAAGGCCAGACTCTAGGCCGAAACGTCGAAATAAACCACGTTGTGACCGCTCACGGAGGATCTACTAGACTATATATATATATATATATATATATATATATATAAAGAGAGAGAGAGAGAGAGGGGGGGGGGCGCGGTTTGCGCTGAACGTAGTGTAACGGGGTGATGACAGAACTTCAGGAAAGGAACGTGGCAATATGTAGTTCAGCGAAGTGAGCGCAAAGAATGCGTTTAATAGTGTTCTATCTCAGAACACATCGCCCCGTCGTAGTGGTCTGCTAAGGTACTCGCAATTGATTGATTGATTGATATGTGAGGTTTAACGTCCCAAAACCACCATATGATTATGAGAGACGCCGTAGTGGAGGACTCCGGAAATTTCGACCACCTGGGGTTCTTTAACGTGCCCCCAAATCTGAACACACGGGCCTACAACATTGCCGCCTCCATCGAAAATGCAGCCGCCGCAGCCGGGATTTGAACCCGCCACCTGCGGGTCAGCAGTAAGGTACTCGCAATAATAGCGAAAGTTGGGCTAGTTTGTGGTTCATATTTGGCCATCAACCAGCCCATGAACACCAACTAGTTGCCATTTTCGTGCGGGGGGAGGGGGGGGGGGTTATACAGGACAAACCGGGCGGTGCGTTAACGTGAGACTAAAAGAACACTTAACCTTTTTGACGGCCGCTGGCGGGTCGCACTTGCCATTGTAGAGAGTGTGGCTGCCAACCTTTTGCAGATAAAGCCACTTGTTTATTTGGACATCGGGACAAGTGCACTAGGGAAGTGATGGAGGCTTTTTTCATTAAAAAGGAGGGGGAAAGGTGTGTAAGCAAGCCGTCCGTGGCCCTTGGTGAAAATGGAGCTAGGTACCTGGGTTCAGCGCTGCCATTATAGATTGTTAGTTTGTTAGGGACTGTTGCATATGTTTTTTGGCAAGTAGGAAGGTGTGTTTTTTTGTTTTTTCTGGGTTGTTACACACGTGTCGTTGTTCAATATGATTAGGCTTGTTTCGAACCTTGTTTGCTTTGATGCGCAGACGCCTTTGGTTTTCCACGTGAATGGGTCTAATGCTTGATATATGTGCGTGTACCTTCCAATAAAATTTAGTTGCGAGTTCAGCGCGGTGTCGTCTCTTCTTCCATCCTTGTCTATATTTGTGCGCTGTTTTTACTTCCCAAGCTAAGCTACTCTGCTGCTGACCTGCAGGTCGCGGGATCGAATCCTGGCTGTGACGGCTGCATTTCCGATGGAGGCTGAAATTTTGTAGGCCCGTGTGCACAGATTTGGGTGCACGTTAAAGAACCCCAGGTGGTCGAAATTTCCGGAGTCCTCCACTACGGCATCTCTCAGAATCATATGGTGGTTTTGGGACGTTAAGCCCCACATAACAATCAATCAATCTCAGAACACATCGACTCAAATTAAACAGTAGAAGAAACGGTCCTGTAAACACCTAATCATTATCCCGTATGGAGAGAAGGCTTCCGAGCTGGTTTCTTCTCCGTTTGTTCCAACGTTGCACTGCGTACACCTTCCTTCCATCTCACAGTTGCAGGGACTCGTTTTGTGCTACAAGTGAGCGAGTTCGCAGGCATTTGAGCTCCGTCCATGCTTCGCACATCGGTGAGAGGGTAGGGGGTGGTTATAGGGCGACAGGTCATGCACCTCATTGTCACACCGCAGTCGAAGGTGCTATTCTGGACACTTGCGAATTTCCCCTTGTCGATTTTGCTACTTTTGTAAACTCAGATTGGCCCAGTGGGTTCTTGCACCCTCACTAATTGGCGTAAATTGGCAGCATTACAGCATTTGACAATACTGTTCAAATTGCAGTTTTCGTGCCAGCTAGTTGAGTTGATTGTTCAGTGTCGTATCAGCCATTGAGTTCAAAGGTACGTTCATCAAGCGCAAGATGTTTCTCGAGAATCTCGCCGCATGGCATCGGCTTGACAAAACCGCAATCAAAACAAGACAAAACAAATACATGGCCGCTCTTTCTGACTGCACTGTAATGCAATTCGTTCTTCTTATGTCTTCGGTTGTCACGAGAACAGTGGTTTAGTTCACGCTTCACTGTACAGTTGCTGCGCGACGACAGCTTGGTCGTTTACTTATTACAGGTAAATTTAGGCTATACACGTTGAAACTTCAGATAATTCCGGCGAAATGCCTCGTGCGAGGACGGCACGTTAACGCTCAAGCAATTGCGGACGCTTTGTAGACTAGCGGTTAGAAAAAAGTGGTCAGTCGCCACAAATAAGAGCATCAATGTATGTCATGCTGTTTATTACTATTATATGTTTATTATTATTATTATTAATATTATTATTATTATTATTATTATTATTATTATTATTATTATTATTATTATTATTATTATTATTATTATTATTATTATTATTATTATTATTATTATTATTATTATTATTATTATTATTATTATTATTATTATTATTATTATTATTATTATTATTATTTAATGTCCCAAAACCACCATATGACTACGAGAGACGCTGTAGTACAGTACTCCGGAAATCCAGCACCTGCGGTTTTTTCACGTGCACCTTGAGTGTAAGAACACGAGTCTCGAGCGCTTTCACCTCCATCGAAAATGCGGCTGCCGGGTTTCACTCCCGCGACTTGCGGGTCAGCTGCCGAGTGCCTTAGCCACTAGACCGTCGTGTCGGGTCTATCGTTAATTTTTGCGTCACGTGACTGCAGCACCAAGGCGCCTGCTAATAATTTTCATGGCTTCTGTAAGCACATATGTACTTGGAATAGTAACACTGACAAAGTAAAGATTCCGTAGGAACCGAAGGTTCTAAAACCACCTCGCCTCCTTCATAGCATTGGAAGTGAACGCGCACGTCGAGTTCAGGATGCCGCTGCGATCAAAGATGTGAAACGTTGAAGCGCTACGCACCACTGGCGCACCACAACATGAAAAAATACATATAAAAAGCCGACCTTGTGTCCGAGCTCTTCCTGTAACCTCAGCACTCGCCCTGACGTCGCCAGGGTAGAACTGCGATGTCTGCAAGGTTTAGAAGCCGTCGTACGGTGGAACAAGAACATTTTTGTTTGTAAGCACCTACGCACGCTTCCTGCACCTCCTCGTCGTAGAAGGACTCGGCGAGAAGGAGAGACCAGCCAGAAGAACGGAGCGTCGCAAAGCAACGAACGAAGGCTACGTTTCGATCATCGCCGATGAGCCGTGCGTCCAACTAGGCCTGCAGAAGTGGCGTTTTTTTTTCCTTTCCTGAAACTCTCTCTCTCTCTCTCTCTCTCTCACGATTATCAAATACTTATGGCTCTGTTTTCGAAAGTTCCCGTGGTTGCGTGTGCACACTGACACGTAAATGCAATACCCGACTAAGTTTCAACTTAAGCCTGGTTTATGGACCATTTAAAAGGACACTGTAGAGGTACGATGACCTGGCTCAGATTGGCAAACTTCAGTTTAAGGACTCAAATTCTCTATGCTTCACTATCACAAGTTTAAAAGTAGCGGACAAAACGTATGTTGAAGTTTCATTTTTTTTTTTAATTTCGCACTGGAACCTCCGCACGTGACGTCAAAAGTTTTCAAATGTAATTTTTGTATTTTCGAGATGTTGACGACCGAATTTCCTGAAATTTCGTAAGTTAGGTCTGCGGCGTTCACAGGTGACAATATATATCGTTTTTTTCGATTAGAAAGTTACGTATAAAACCCAGTAGACGCCTTGAAATATGTTACGTCTTTGTGTTTGGTGCGAGAATCTCAAGCGGCATCTGCAGCATCTTTTTTAGCGTGTTTTCTCGTTTACAGATCGCCGTGTCGCTGTAAGAGTATAGTGCTTTCTGAATTTCGAATTCGTACTTCACTAATACGCGAAAAATCGTCTGTTCTTTTGAGGGAAACAAGCTTCGCTATGAAGTCGTCCAAACTACGTAAACTGGTGTTATCGCATGCTACACTTACTCCGAGCAATCTGTTCATTTTAATCGCTTGCAGGTGCGCATCTGCCGCAGCCGTGACCGCCATGCTGCTGCTCGTCACCATCGACTCGCGGCTGCACCGACCCCGTCTTACGGCTGTCCTTGGAGTTGTGCTACTAGTCGGTTTCGGCTACATCTTTTCCAAAAACCGGAGCAAGGCACGAAGTTTATAGACGACAACTAGTACACGAACACGTCTTTTTTTTCGTTGTTATGTCAGAACTGGTTCGTCACTTTGCAAGCGTATTTCATAGGCCGTCAGAACAGAGAAACCGACCATAACACGTTATAAACCCCATAAAGTTCACATAGTACCTAGTGTGTAAGTGTTTTTGCATCTCAAATTTAGGTGCGCGTACATTTAGAACTAACCATTTTACTTCTTCCTCTTTTATTAGCAAACAGCTAGCTCTTCGGCTGGTTTCATTTTATCCGTCTCCTCTACGTTGTGCCAGGCCCGTCTTGTGAAGCTCTAGCGTTTGTCCCAACTGATGGTACTGCAATATTAATGTTTTCGCAATAGTTTAAGCACTAACGAAATCCGGAATAGAGTAACCCCACTCAGAGTTTGCAGCAGAAAAGACAACAGGCATCGCCTACGAGTTTTCTTGCAAATGTAGAAAAGCAGCATAATACAACAAAAAAATGTTAACAAGTAGTGCTGGCCGATAAAACGTCTTCGTCATAACATTCCAGTGGATACACTCATATCTTGCGACCTTTTGTTGTTAGTGTTGTTTTTTTCATTTCAACACAACAATTGGTAGTAAAAAAAACACCAGTGGTCGTTCTCTTAAATCCATATACATTCCGACAGGTTCGAACTCAGGTCAATTCAATCATTCTGCTAACAGCTACTTCAGCTACAGTGTTCAAAACAGTCAAAGTCATCACTTGATATCTATTCATAGAAATTCAATAATTTCGTCTATGAAGTTCTAAACCTGTTCCAATTATCCATTCGAATAGTTTTGGGCATCCTATGAAACTGGCAGTTCGATTTTAATAATTATAAATATTAGAGCACCGGCATTTTTTTTTTTTTTGGCCTTTCGCCGGCGGCTGTAGTCGTCAGAAAAAGACAATTACTCAGTAAACAGAAAGTTACAAACTGCTCACTGGGAAGTTTTTGCATACCGGTCTACAAATTTCTTATTAGAATTTCCTGCTTAGACTCCTTTCTTCATGAGCTTGTTAATTAACTTCTTTAATTAAACAATTAGGTACAATAAAAAAGTACCGTGTCATACCCATGGTATAGTCAGCATCGCACATTTAGCCTTGTCAATATGAAGTGTGTCAGCATATTTAACTCTGGCCATGGTTAGCTTAGACACATTGTACACTTATCACCATCATCTTCATTCTGACTTTGGTCTTAACAAGACGAAGGCATAACCAATGTTTTGCCTACCAAACCAGCCGTGTGCTTCCTGTCTGCGGATATAACGTGGCCCTGTATATAAATAAAATCATTTTAAAATGGGACACTGCTAACAATCTGTTGCTTGCAGGGAGTGTCCACTGTACAGTAACATCTACTAATGCTGACTGGAGGTCATGCGGTTGCACAATGCTTCGATCTCTTAGACACTCTTATTGCAAGTACCACGAGGCTTACGAAAATCTTGCAGCGTGGTTTGCATCGCTAATCGCGTTGCAACTCGTTACGTTAACCAGGTAAGGTGGCGTCCCGTGTTGAGCGGATTGCTACTTCAGTTTGCGCTGGGTCTGTTACTGGTACGCTGGCATGTTGGGCGAAGTGCTCTGGCCTGCCTCGCCGAGAAGATGGCCACCATCATTTCATTCGCTGAGCACGGGGGAGGTTTCGCGTTCGGATACCTGAGCACGGGGGAGCTCCAAGGAGGCCTGCCCCGTCAAGAGCCCATGCTCGGAGTTACGGTGAGTACTACGCACATCGTCACATTCTAGTGCGAGATGAGTAGCTGGTTTCTCTTTTGCACCTGCTTAATGACTAGGCGTGGTAGGGGTGGAGGCAGCAAATCTGTCTCATGCGTTTCCTCTGTCGGACCTCCATTCTCATTGTTCAATGTGAAGGGCTATGGTCATACAGGTTTCTGACAATAATGGTGGTCAAAGGCCCCTGATGTTGCATAGGAGATAACTTTTCTGCCACTGCCAAGTGTAACTTTACGAAGCTGTGAACCAGGAGGCGGCCGTTGTACGAAGCATGCGCATAATTCCGTGTTTCCCGCTCTGCGCACTTTGACGTCGATTGTCCACCTCGGTGGTACAGTGGTTGCGGTGTTCAGATGCTGACCCGAAATCCGCCGGTTCGAACACGGCAATCGCATTTTCATCGAGGCAAAAATGCTTAAGGCCCGTGTGCTGTGCGTTGTTAAACAACACCAGATGGTCGAAATTTCCGGAACCCTAAACAATGGCGTCCCTCATATAATCAAGTAATCATATGGTATCGGGTCGTAAAATGCCAGATATCAATTCTCACACAGCCTTTTTTTCTTTGTCTTGTTTCCCTTGGAGATGAGACAATGACTTTTGACAACCGCGCAGGTGGTATCGACCGTGGTGTTCTTCGGACTGCTGGTTTCAATACTGTGTCACTACGGTATTCTGGAATGCCTGGCTTCATGGTTCGCCAGGCTTATTTCTGCAACCATTGGAACCACGGCCCTCGAGTCCTATTGCGCCGCCTGCAGCATCTATCTTGGCATGGTGAGGTATCTTCACTGTATTCGATAATAGGCATAGACTTCACCATAACGGTATAGCCGCTAGGGCATACGGCACCGTATTGTCGTAGGAATGTTCCCAAATCAATACTTCATTACGCGCGTAACAAAATGTTTGTGCTTTCGTGTGCCATATTATGGTGCCATGCACTCCCTCTTTAGCCTTATTCACACCCGCCAAAGAAATTATTCTTCACTGCATATATCGAAAACATAAACTATATATGAAAGTTTACAAGCGTAGGTGCATTGCTGGGAAACCACAATAAACTACTTTTAATGGTGCTGTGAAACTCAGTAAGCCCCAATATTTCATCAAAACCCCAATGAGGAGTCAATACGACTCATTTGCATTTAAAATATTCCTTTGTCGTAAATTTTAATCCTCAAATCGATGGAAGAAATTTTAGCCTACACTGGAATGCTCACAAATAACTGATATGCATGTCTCTAAGCATGTCTCCAAGTGTTTCGCTCCTCTGTAATAAAAATGTTTCATTGATTTTTAAGGCATGTATGTATACTGTTAACAGCCAGCATGGGCTGTAGACTAGAATGTGTATTATATTATTGGCGGCACGTTAAATCACGTGCTCCTCAATCTGCGTTTTAGAACACTCAAATGCTGCTCCGTATAATGCGCTCTGCGTAGCTCTAGCATTTGACGACGCATAATACTTCGCGGTTGAGTTAGTGACTGGGTAGGCCTATTTTATTCTACTTGGAGCGTGCTTCAATTTATGCATTTCTTGGATCACGCGTTCGACTTTGCGGTTCGCGGAAAAGTTCAATCAACGAGATCGCGCCGGATTCATTTCCCGCAGCATTCAGAGCGTGATTCTCATGTAACAGTGACCACTGCCTGTATCTTTTATCTTTTTATTAGCGAGAGACGCTACTGTATATTTTTTTTTGATCTCACACTTCACTTTTGCTGCGAGGGCAGGCCGACTCGGCGGCTCTGGTGAGGATTCATTTGGCGCAGCTGACGAGATCCGAGCTGCACACAGTCATGACGTGCGGCTTCGCCACGATATCAGGGAGCCTGTTCGTGGTATTCACAATCTTCGGCGTGAGTGGCATTCATCTGTTTCCCTCAGACAATCATACATATCTCCGAACGATAGGCTTAAACACTTTGCATTTGTATTTCCTTTAATTCATCGACAACAATAACTCGCCTTGTATACTTATAACGTTACGCACAAAATACATGACCAGGCAAAAAAGAACGCATGAACCCACACAGCCTTTGCTTTTTTCGATCTGACTCTTTTTTCTACAATATTACCGTATCACTGGTTCATCAACAAGCTGTAGTAGCAAGCTCAGTAAATAACTCCACATAAGGCCCTACCAGACATTCAACTCTACACATTGACGCTTGCATCATCATTCTTTTGTGTTTCATTCAGGCAATCTATTTAAGACGGGAAGGGGGGGGGGGGGCAGGCCGCCTTCAGTTAGATCCCCTTGCTTCTTTGCCGTAGATCTCATAATTAAAGTACAAACGTCTTAACTTCTTTCCACCATACAAATATTAAATCTCATCGCAAAGCAATAACACAAAAATGTATTTACGGAGTGTTTAACAACATCGGGCCATGCATCTTACCTAGCCCAGATTGTGTCTTCTTCGGGTGAATCCTGGGCAAGACAAGACAAGTGTTCTACTACTGTTAATCTTTTAGACGAGATTGGCGTGTGAACTACGTAAGCCGCACTGCAAAGCACTGTGGGCCATTTTTTATTTTTGTACAGGTAAAGGCCGAACACATGTTGGCGGCCTCAGTGATGTCCGCGCCAGCAGCCCTCGGGTTCTCCAAACTTTTTTACCCCGAGACAGAGGATAGCAGCAGTGATTTAGAAACCATTAAAGACGTTCGAAGGAGGTAAGGTCACTAAGTAATTCTGCAGTTGCTGGTTTTTGATAACGTATACAAAACAAAGATCTTGAGAGACGTGAAGCGCAAAACTTCAAATGTAAGAAGAACCGAATGCTATCACCATGTACAGTCGGTTTCGAAAGTTTAGAGACCACTAGGTGGGATCTTTGGAAGTGCACGTATACAGCATAACTGCGCTCTACATGTTCCAAGCGCGTCTTAGAACCGACTGGAAATCTAAAGTCGAGTCTGTGGGCGTGTTTATGCAGCAGAAATATTCAGCTTTCTTTAGTGAACCATGGCCCATCTTCCTCAGAGGTTGAGTTTGATTTCGTACATTCATATCACTTAAACCATCCGGACAAGGCAAACTGATTATACATGACAAACTGATGTGGAAGCTGACGTGCAGAGCTAACCTATGGCACTAAATATTGTCGATTTGCTTCGTGCATGAAACCGATGTATGAGCTCCTCAGCCTACATGTTTGATACAGATGCATGTGTAGGCTTGCAACAATCGCTTTCTGAGTTAGTGGGTCATACAACTCGCTGACAAACTGCATGTGGCGGCATGCTCACAAAATCTCTTCTGCTAGAATTGTCCGTAAGAGAAGCCAACAGCCAATCACTCGAGCACTGCACATATTATCGAAGGCTACTGACAATTAGGTGTCTGAAAATTTCTGAAGTTGTCTTAAATACCGAACGAACGCACCCGGAGAAATGTTTCGCAGAACCAACGTAAACAAACCCTTTTCTACGAAGCATGGTTCAAGAATGCTCCCCTACTTTTCTTGAGGCGATCAAGTCGACACATAGCGATTAGCCTTTTGCGAGGGCTGTCAAGATATGCTAACTAAAACACTTGTTTTTTTCGTCTAACATAAACGTCAGCGGTGCACACTTGACGAGGACGGAGCGAAGAAACACTGGACACAGCTCCTGTGTCCAGTGTTTTCGCGGTCCGTTCTCCACAAGTGTACGCTGTTTTTGTTTTGATATAATAAAACAACTAGATCGAGATGTTTTGTAGCAGTCTGGCGGACTAAAAAAACCAAAATAATGTGCGAAACTTGTTGTTGAGCTAGGTGGTACAAGGTAATAAAAAACAAAAAAACAAGTTATTCGTACCTGTATTTTGCTTTAAAACAGGATTGATATATACTAGTGCCGCACATGCGTGCCTATTTTCTGTCACAAAACCTTATATCAGTCACTCTAGGAGCACGTGCTATAGTTTAAAGCGCGTTTACAGGTTTCATAATCAGCACCACGCTATCAACAGATGTGTCACCAATGTAGCTTTATGTATTTTTTATGTAGTTCGCCTTTAACTCCCCTTCCTTTCACGTGTTTCGGTCACCCACAACTCTGCTGTGTTCTTATGTGTCAACACGCAGCTGCAGAAGCAGCTCCAACGTCTTCGAGTCCATGGCACGGAGCGTGTCCTCCCTGCTTGCGGTGGCGGCCAATGTGGTGGCATCGCTGCTGGCATTTGTGGCCTGCATCGCATTAGCTGACGCTGTACTGGCGCACGTTGGCTCACTCGTCGGTTGGAAACTCAGCGTGAACGTAAGCACGTCGCGTGAGAACGAAAAATAAAACTTTGTCACTCGGAGCTGCCGTCTTCTAAATACACAACCCTGTGTGAACACTCTAAATAGCATAACTTTGAAAAACATTCTGTGCAGCTTTAGCTGACCTAACATCAGGAAGTCTGATAAAACAGTGGAGCTGGTGCCATAAACTTTACCTTAATTGTGGCCGGATATTGCTGAACCAAGGATAGGCGATGCGAGTCTGACATTCTAGATTGAATGCGAGACCTTGCGTTTCTTTCAGGATGGTCGGCAGCCCCTCCATCTCTACACACCACCTGCTTCGCTCCTGACATAACTACACCTTCACTCCTCCTCCTTCTTACCCAGGTTTACCCCCTGCTCGTCACTACCGTTTTTCAAGCAGGCTCAAGTCATTACTCTATAGAATTCCCTCTCACCTGCCTAACTTTACCTCTCTTCTCCCTCTTGTCAGGTTTCACGCTCACACATCCGCTATGAAGTGTGCACGATGGATCCCCAGAAATTAACCTCGGCCTTCAAGAGCTCCGCCGTTCAAGAGCTCCGCCGTGGTGGGAGGGCGAACCGTATTTCGCCCTCCCACCACATGCAGTTCGAGACGGGGCCACACTGAGCCGTTCCGCGGGTAAATCGCAACAGTACTGGTGCCACAAAAAAAGAGTTCATCGCGGGAGGTTTCCGTTGGCTACGTATCCTCGCAAAAACCTCAGCTGTTTGAAGTTTTAAAGTTTTAAGTATATTCAGTATTCAAAACATATACAGAATACAGACATATTATTACAGAAAAAGGTCCCATAGTATAAACACTGTAGAGGGACCTTATTATAGTAGTAAAAAAGCAAATACTACTTAACAGCAAAATGGATGCAGCATATAGTACTCATAGTAAAAGGTATGTATATCTAAACAATGGCGATTCTAAGATTTATACAATTTAAAACACAAAAATATCGAGAGAAAGAACTGTAGTATAATTAAAGCGGACACTGATCACAGCGACCTAAATATAAATGTGTTTGAAGAACATTGAATGAAGGATGCTATTCATTAAACATTAATTTTCGAAGCTGATGATTCAATGGCAAAACAGGAAATGCACAGTTAATATTCTATGGCAACTAATTCCAGAGCTTGATTAAAACAAAGGCTCCATAATATTGTCACGCAGCAAAGGACGACGCAGTTGTCTATAAGGGAAACAAGTTTATTGGAGCGAATCTGTGCTCCCCTAACAACTGAAAGAATACACAGGCGGCGAAGCAGCGGCCGGCAAAACGACGTGCACGCTAGTGAGCGTCGGCGATCGAATGACGCGGCATCGGCTGTGCGGGAATTTATATCCCTCGGCGCGAGGGTTTCTCGAATAGTAAAATTGTATCGAGAACGCCGTAATAGCGTTTGTTAGAAACGCTGTTCGTTCGAACAGCGTTTCTAACAAAGAACGCTTGAAGCGTTGTTTCTATCGAACAATGCCCGAAGCGTTGTTCGATAGCGTTTGTTCGAAACGCTGTGGTAGCGTTTGTTCGAAACGCTGTGAAAACGGCGACAGCACAGGCCGGCGCAGCCAGGCCGAAAAAACAAAACAAATAAACAAACCCAATGCATGATTCGCGGCAATATAGTAGTTTCTTTATTAACGCGATAGCGTTAGAAAGCTCGTTTCGCGGAAATTCCGCCGTCAGCACCATTGGTTGTGAGCGAAAAGTCGTCCATGAGCCAATAATTGACAGAAAGGCAAATGAAATAAAGAATTACTTTTCGGTCCCATTCAGAATTGTACCCAGGCCGTTCGAGTGGCATGCAGGTGTCTTACCACAGAGCCACGATGTTTTCTTTTTCTTCTTTATTTCCGGTTAAACTTCACGCACGGGGGGCTAAGATAAAGATAGAATAATACACAGCGAACCTAACAACAAATAATTACGACCGTCAAGCATTACTATAACACATCACGTCTTAGAATTCCTTCATGGTCAGTAGGGTTTCTATCCTTTGTAACCATAAAGTTACTCATTCGGCTATTCTTACTACCTCGAGAAAGTTTGAGATACTTTCTTTAAAATACTCTCTTGTTGGTGTCTTGTCAGGGTCACAGTGAAATTTAGCCATTCTAGAGCACCATATACGGTGCAAGGCAGTCATCATAATTAAATCGAAAGGTAATTCCTCATCATTCCTTATTGCCAAATACCTGATTCCATGAGTGTCTGACGGAAACTTTTTTTTAATTGTCCTTTTTTTGGTCCTTCCCCAAAAGTAAACTCCATCCCCCAAAATAAACTCCTTCCCAACAATGCAGGAAAACGTGGTCAGTAGTTTCCAGTTTATTACAGATTAGACAATGAGATCCCCAAGGAATATAAAACCCACGCTCCTCTAGGAAGGTTCTTAGAGGAAGTGTTCCTATGTGTAATCTAAAAATAACGTTCTTGCACTAGGAGCTGCCGGCATTTTTTTAACTCGCTTAAGAACATTCTGACCCTTGCGTGCTGTATATATAGTGCTCTGTACAGTGGGATGGGAGGCACAGTGTCACAAATTTTTGTACAGTTCTTTCTTTTGAACAGACTACAGGTAGTCTGTCAAAAAACAAACACACAAAAATGGCACGCTGGCAACAATTTCTTTCATGTATCCTTGCACAGCCCCCGTGGTAACGAGAGTGCTCACAAAAAACTTGGGCAACAGTATACTTATTCTTGTTTGACACACTGTTAGTAGGAAAAAATCTCTTGTCTCGTGGAAAAAGAAAAAACTATTTACTAACTGCTTGATAAACAGATCTCCTAGCCCAAGACCTCCACACTTCACCCGTCTAAACAAATTCATGCTACTTTACCTTTCCTAGTTAGACCCCTACACAAACATTGAAAACACCTGATGTAATTTTTGCACATTGACCTGGGAACAGTACAGCACTTGCATCACATACCATAGCTTAGACACAAAAAACCAGTTACATGCACTAGCCCTAGCAAACATGGACAGATAAGTTGCATTCCACCTATTCGCTTTCTCTTTAATTTATTTTGTTTACTGTGACAAATATTCATTATGCTAGTACACCTTTAGTGGTGAGCAGAAGAGACGTTTACTTTGTGGAAAACGTAGCGGTAGAACCGACCAGCTGTCAAGCGGAGCGAGCGCGAGCAGCAACAACACTCTTCCTTCTCTTCTTCAGCTGGCGTTCCGGCCTGTGCCAAATATCAATGCTACAAATCACTCCCCCCTCAGAAAAGGAGCCATCCTGGCGACCTATGGAACGGGTACGACGGGTGGGTCGTAGTGCGGCTTCAATCGATCTACGTGAACAGTCTCGCGGCCTCGATGCCGTCGGTCTGTTGATGGTTGAACCGGCTCAACAATATAGTTAACCGGTGAGGCCTGACGTAGGCCTCGGTAGGGGCCTTCGTACTTCGGCAGTAGCTTGGTGGAAAGACCAGGAACAGATGAGGGAACCCGAAGCCATACCAAGGCGCCAGGCGAATATGACTGCGAAGACAGGTTTTCGTCGTGACGGTTCTTCTGGTACGCTTGATCTTGGGCGGTTAAGGAACGCGCGAGTTGCCTGCATTCTTCTGCATAGGTGGCGACTTCAGATAGAGTTGTGGATTCCGAAGCGTCTGGATGATACAAGAGAATGGTGTCCATGAATGAGGAAGGTTCGGGCCCGTAAAGGAGGAAGAACGGAGAGAATCCTGTCGTAGACTGAGTGGCGCTGTTGTAAGCGTAAGTTACAAAGGGTAGTATGCGGTCCCAGTTGGTGTGATCAGCGGACACGTACATGGATAGCATGTCGCCCAGTGAGCGGTTAAACCGTTCGGTCATTCCATTCGTTTGCGGATGGTATGCGCTGGTTGTCCGATGCACAACGTTGCATTCGCGAAGAAGGGCTTGTACCGCTTCGGAGAGGAACGTACGGCCGCGGTCACTGAGTAGCTCACGAGGCGCGCCATGGCGTAGAATGAGATTGTGAAGGATAAATAAGCCAACTTCACGTGATGTGGCCTCTGGCAGCGCAGCAGTTTCAGCATAGCGTGTCAAGTGATCAATGGCGACAATCACCCAGCGGTTCCCGTTAGGCGTATAGGGAAGGGGACCGTACAAGTCAATTCCGATGCGGTCGAAAGGGCGGGAGGGGCAAGGCAACGGCTGCAGTTGTCCATTGGCTATGTGTGGTGGGCTTTTTCGGCGTTGACATTTGGAGCACGAACGCACGTACTGTCGGACAAAGCGGTACATTCCGCGCCAATAGTACCGCAGCCGGAGACGTGCATACGTTTTTATCACACCGGCGTGGCCGCATTGAGGATCCGCGTGAAAAGAGTCGCAAATGTCGGCACGTAGGTGGCGAGGAATCACAAGCAACCACTTGCGGCCGTCAGAAAGGTAGTTGCGACGGTACAGGAGTCCATCGCGGATGGTAAAGTGTCGAGCTGTGCGCTGCAGTGAACGATTGGGCGTAACTTGGGACGGCCGAGACAGTAACTCTATCATAGAGGCTATCCAAGCGTCTTGGCGCTGTTCATAGGGCATGTCCGCGTACGAAAGTGCCACAGCATCGAGGCTGGATACAGAAGTACTTCCGTGTTCATGGGGAAGTGGAGAGCGGGAGAGAGCGTCGGCATCTGAATGTTTGCGGCCTGACCTGTAGACGACACGGATATCATAGTCTTGGAGGCGTAACGCCCAACGAGCGAGACGGCCAGATGGGTCTTTTAGTGACGATAACCAGCAGAGGGCGTGGTTGATCAGTCACGACGTCAAATGGACGGCCATAGACGTAGGGTCGAAATTTTGTGATTGCCCAGACGATGGCTAGACATTCTTTTTCTGTGACTGAATAATTCTGTTCAGCCCTAGTAAGAGTGCGACTGGCATAAGAAACGACGTACTCGTCGTATCCAGACTTGCGTTGAGCAAGAATAGCGCCAAGTCCGACTCCACTTGCGTCGGTGTGTATTTCTGTAGGGGCATCAGGATCAAAGTGAC